ACTCTTTCGTACCAAACGATTACGAAGAAGTGGTAATCATTGTCATAGAGTCGACCGAATCGGAGCGTCCGTTGTTGTCAATGGGCTGTCCGTCATAAGTAGTTTCAATCTCTCGCTGGGCTTTCGATATTTTACTCTTGGTTTTGGGCGAGTCGTCAGAACCCGCTTCCATCGCAAACATCCGCATCTTCTCAGCGAAACTCAGTTTCTCGGGTTTCATAGGCGGCTGTCGGCCCGCGTTCTGCGCCGTTCGCGCCGCCTCTATTCGCTGTCGCGGGTCGTTGTAGACCTCTTGGGCGCCAATAACGCCCGGCGTATTGCCGGACACATCTCCGTGATTGCCGAGCGCTTCGTCGATATCCTGTAACGTGAAACTTGAGTTTTGATGGTTAGACGCGTCGGACTCCAAGTGCTCCGAGTCGTCGTCCATTTGATCGGTTGACGAGGGGTTGTCATTCCACGACACCTTTTTGGGCGTGTGGTTCGTGTGCTGTGACAACGGCTCCGATAGGTCTCCGTTACGCAACGCCGACGGATATTTAGATGAGTGGTCGAGCGTTAAATCAGTCTTCGGTTCGGGCACTGATTGATAAGCCGACGAAGTGGTCATAAGTAGGCGGTCGAGTCGTTGGGGCGCTTCCAGAGGTGGCGGCGACTTCGGTAATGGCGGAGGAATCTCAATGGGAGAGTTGTTCATATGATTGGGCATCTGATGGCCTTTGGGAACAAACCCTCGGAAACGGAGCTCTTCGTCCTATAAAAACAAGCGATTAGTTTAACGGCTAATAAATGACAGCATTCGTGACATTACTTGTCGTCGTCGAGCCTCTCGTATAAGCCTTTCCTCCTCCATCTGCGCCGCTTCCAGCTCTTGATGGCGTCGGTTCTCTTCGAGCTTCAACTGCCGGAGTCTCTCTTCCTGTGCCTCCAATTGGTTGTTATGAACCGAATTGTTTTGTTGCGTCCTTTTAGCCCATTCCTCGAGATTGGGTCTAAAGTTTTGCTGCTGTTGTTTGAGCTGTAATTCGCGTTCAATCCGTCGCTGTCGAGTCCGCTCGATGTCCTGTTTCATAGACAACATGCGTTCCCTACTGTCCGCTCTGTCCAACACCTCGTCGTCTTCATCCTCGTCCTCATCGGCGCCCATCTCTTCGGCGCGTTTCTGGAACTCCCGATCGATCAGCAATTTTCTGAGCCGTTCGTCGTGTTGTGGTGTCCGATATGGAAGTGTTTCCAGATATTTAAT